TATATATATATATATATACCGCAGGTGAAAAGAAGTATAATGCTGAAGATGGCGGATGCTTGTCAGGAAGCTAATAAGCATAAACAAACTACTTTCCAAGAGATGTATGTACAACGACATAACAACGTAAGGTAATTTATTACATATATTAGTGATTGTAACAAAACTGATCCCTATGATAGTTTTTTTAATTGTTACAAAATATTAATCTTAGAATGTGATATACATTGTTAAATTCAAAATAAATTACAATTTTTATTTCATAAAGGATTGAACTAAATCGCAATTGCTTTTTGATACTTGCATACAATATTTCGTTTACAATCATTTAAATTACGAATTGATTCGCAACAAGAAAGCTAATGTTAAAAATAAATAAAGATTCGATTCTCATAAGGTCAGGAATAATTTAAGAACGGGAATAATTTAATCATAATCAGTGTATTTAGCAAAGGTGCGCGCGTATTTAGTTCTCCCGAGGATTATATGGGTCGAGGATGATGGCAAGGAATATTGATTGCATTGAAATAAACGCACGCTGCACGTGTCGCACATTGCCTTTGGTCGCCTATCCTTTATTTATCTATCGATCTAGCGATGCATCTGAATTTAAATCATATGATCGTTCGATTGTGCAGCATGCAGATTCAATCGAGTTCACTTGTCGATCCGATAAAATACGATTTTTCCTCAATGCCTCTTTCTTTGAAGTACACATCTTATATGGTCCTAAAATTAATAAAATGCTCCTTATATATTTAAATTGCAATTTTTGTATTAAAATTCTTTGACAAAGCGTTAATTAATTTACTAAGTACGTTCAATTTACTAAGTACGTTTATTTTTTGTTTTATTTCTTTATAATAGAGATAATGTAAAGATTAAATTATTGAAGTACTTCAATAATATTATTAAATTTATTTAATTTAAATAATATTAACATTTATAACAATAATTTTAATATTATTACATTTATTTCTGATTTACATATTTCTATTTGACAAGATAGTTTACAAAATATTTTTTAAAATAATATATCATTGTTGCTTGCATAGCATTCTCTACGCAGACATTGTCAACTTCACACCGCTGTCAGAGCAGCTTTCAGCTTCCGATCTCGTAAAGACGCTCAACGAACTCTTTGGCAGATTCGATCAAATAGCTCAGGTAAAAGAAAATATAATTGTTAAGTTAAATTTAATTTATTTTTAATTAAACCTTTTCTGTAGTTTAAAATAATAAACTTTATTATTTAAAACTCCTTCCTATCAAAATTGCAATATTCTCCAAGAATTGTTTTAAATAAAAAATAAATTTAATTATATTAAGTCCTAGTTAATAAAATTAATTCCATTAAAAATAATTATATATACACTACGCCTTTTTTACTAATATAAGTTTAAAATAGTTCACTTATTAAATTTATTTCTAAAATCAACTTTAACATGAGATAAATAATTCAATATTGATGATGGGAGAGAGGGTCACATACTGTGTGACTTGCAACATTAGATTTCTTTCTATATGTATTATCGTCAATATTGTCGCCTAACCTAAGGTCGACTATGGATCCATTAGTGCGAAGCGAATAAAATGTCTAAAACCTTTTACCCTTTACCAACAAGCATATGATCATCTATCACTTGTACAAAGAGGGATATTGAAAATGTACTTTCAGTTTACATGAGAATAATATTTAAACATTTCAAATTTTCAAATTCAATAAAATTTAGTAAAATCTAATAAAATTTGTTTATTAAAAGTTATACTCTATAAAAACGCAAAAATATATTTTAAAATTCTAACGTTACAAAAATCTAACACATGGAGAGAAATTTTAATTTTTGTTAAAAAAAAATCCTTTCGCTTACAATATAATTATTGAAAACTTTAATTTAAAATTAAAGAAAGTTTGTCATTGTTAAACAAAAAAATTATTCAACATTTATTTGTAAAATACTTTGGATTCTTTGCATATGTTTGCTCTCTTTTAATGATTTAAATATAATGTTTTTCAGTAACGTACAAATTCAATTTCAGTTCGTCAATTCGTCTTTCAATCAGAGTTCCTCATTGATTAAATAAATTTCCGGGTTTGCGATTCATCAAACCGCTATCAAAAGAATAGTATGCTCTTTCGCAAGTGTAACAATTTTATTTGTATTATGTGTCGCATGTTTGCGATAATCAGTTGCAATGACATTCAGTTAAGTGTTTATTTAATAGTTAAATTGAA